GTTAATTTGTGCAAGGTCACCTACTAACACACTGCCTTAATAAGCAGAGTGTCTAGAGACACACACACGCGCGTTTGTGTAATGGAAGCGGCTGGAAGTGAGCAGCGGCCGTGATAACAAAGAACTGCCCTTCCTTCCCCTCCCTCTGTTCCTCCTCCTCTCCCCTCTTCCATCTTTTTTTCTCCCTTCCCGTCCTCGATGCTTTGTTTGCGTATTTCCGAGTGTGTTTGTGTGTGACGAGCCAAAGTAAACAGCCGAGGAGGAGGAGGACGAGGAGGACGAGGAGACTGTTTTTGTGTGACTCAAATTGGGGCCAAGAGGCAGAAAGAGAGGGAGAAGGGAGAGCGAGGGGGGGAGACAAAGGGAAAGCGGGGCGAGCGGCCGATGCACTTGAACATGCGCGCCTGCTGCTTTGGTGTCGTGGCCGGCGCCTATCAGCGTCGCCGCGCTTTGCCGCTGGCCTCATGCTATGCTAATGCGATGCTAATTGACCATTCGCCCCCTCGCTGATACACTCTAACGGATGTGAGCGGAATCACGCCGAGCTGCATCACGTCAGCGTTTATTGGCACAAATAGAAATATTGGGTTGGGCCGGACAGAAATTTCCTAATTGCGATTGCTTTTTTTAATATTGCTTTTGCGATTGAATTTGCGATACCGGTGAGAATAATCAATTTTTCATTGCTATTCAAAGCATTTTCACTGAAAAATATTAAGAAATCGTTTTGCTGATCCGTCCATCTCCTTTGCTTCCGTCCTCACATCTTTCCCTGCACTAATGTGGACAAAAGGAATGAATGTGTACAAGCAGAGAGGACATTAACGACTAGCTGTCTTTGTGTGTGTGTGTGTGTGTGTGTGTGTCTCTGTGTGAAGGAGAGAAAGGGGGCTTTGTTTTACAGTCCACTAGAGTCCAAGCTGACGTCAACTAAATGCTAAATTCAAGCAATAGAAGGCTTCAGTGTTCCAGATTTTTCATTTCAGGATTTAGCTTGAGCCTGGAGGAGCAGAGGTTTGATTCCATGCAGAGAACTTAGAGTTTGAGTCGTATAACTTTAATGGACAAGATTTATTGGCCTCCGTTTGGACTCTTTCAGTGTTTCTAGCGTTAATGAGCCCAACAGTTTCATGTTGCACATGTATTATATTTTCCTTTCTCTCTTTTATTTCTTTCTACATTTTAAATGTTTTTATAAATGACGGAAGTAACAAACAAAACAAACACAGCAGCACTGTTTGCCGCATGTTTAAGGTGATGTAAAGCTCGATATAGACCAAAGCAAACAACTGAACAACTGGAAGGCAAAGACGCACATGTGTTTCATTTGTGATCCTCAATTCACAACATGGCAGCAGACAAACAGGCTTTTATGCTCGAAGCGCCAACAGAAATGTTTTTTTCTTAATCCAGCTGTTATCAGCTGTGAAGAGCACGTGTGGGGTTAGAGTTTGTTTTCAGGCGTCCGTTTCTGACGCTATATTAACATTCTTGGATTGATTTTACGCCGTAAATAGCACTATTCTAGCGTAAAACATCACTTCCATCCATCGTTACCCCCCCCCCCCCACACACACTCACACACACACGGCGTAGTTAAGCAACTCATTGTGCGATGTCTTCGTTCCAGTGTGTGTGTGGCGGTGATGATAGAGAGACGTGAGTGTGGTGCTCTTCAGGCTGAGATTGGCCCGTCGCCTGCACTTCAAATAAATCACTTTCCCCTCCACAAACCCCCACACACACACACACACACACACACACACACACACGTTTCTCCTAAAAGCAACCCACCAATGCGGTCGTTGGCTCTTGCAAAGATGTGCTTTGAAGGAGGAAGAGAGTTTCAGTAACTCCACCGAAAAAAATTCTAAATCAAAATTAAAATGTAGTCATTTAAATATATTTTTTTTAGCTCAGCTTTAAAGAAAAGGCAGATGTTTTTGGGAGAGACGGACCAGCTGTTTCCCTCGGCTTTCTGTCCTCGCGCTAAGCTAAGCTAGGCTGGTCCCCTCCGGGCCGGTCGACTGGTCCTCACCCGGCTGAGAGGCCGCTGTGTGTTTATTCTACTGGAGACGCAGAGTGCCCCAAAAGAAAATGCTACACGTCCCTGCTTGGAAAAAAGAAACGATTAAATGGTTTCCTCCCGCTCGCCGGGCGGCTCTTTGGGATTTCACGCCTTGTTGCCTCCGGTGAGTCCGTACGCCCGGAGCCAATCACATTCCTGTGCCGCCTCCTCTCTCCCTTTCTCAGAGGGACGTCCCATTTATTGTCGGTTAACCTGCGCGACGGGCGGCAACCTGACGGAGCCGTCGAAGCCATTTCCACTCGGAAACCACGTCGGCACTCGGGAGAAACTTTGCTCCGGTCTGTCGCACGGACGGCAGCATCTCAACCCGGCACTGTTTTTTGTGGCCTCTCGTCCGGCTAAATGTATTTGCATTTCTACACAGTTCTCTACGAATATTTGCGGTGTGCTTTCCAGCCTGTATTCAGTTTCAACGTTGTTCTCAGCGTACGTGGCCCACATGTTCTCCCTGATCGCAGCCTCATCCTCATCCAACCCCCCCAGTGACCGTCTCCTCCTCCTTCCCTCTCTGTCCACAGCGCTTTTCCTCCGTCAGGAAGAGGACGGGCCTGGCGGGCATTCATGTCTTTGGACATTCATCCACAGATCGCTGCCTTTGACGTCCTTTTTTTCCTCCCCCGTTGTTGTCCTTTCATCCGTCTCCCCCCCACCGTCAGCTTGTCCCTTTCGTAGAATCAACAATGTGATGACCGTGAAATACGGTGAAACGTTACCGGACAAAACCTTTGCTAGGAAAGCAGAGAACACCGCTAGGAGCTGTTAAATATCAGATTACATGGCAGTCAACCTGTTACCTTATCTGCAGTGTAACTGAAGACCTGCAGGCTTGGAAACATGAGAGCCAGGCTCTGGTCACACTGTGTGTGTGTGTGTGCGTGTGCGTGTGTGTGTGTGTGTGTGTGTGTGTGTGTGTGTGTGTGTGTGTGTGTGTGTGTGTGCTTTAACATAACGAATATTGAACATTAATGATAATTGCTGTTGTAAAAAGGAGAAGTTGGGCCTTAACATCTGGACTTTAAACCGACGGCTCATGCGCTCCTTGTAACCGAAAGCAAGCGAGACGCACTTCAGCCTGACGATGATCCGTTTCGACAGCCTGACTCAGCAGGTCGTTGGTTTTGCAGCCATTTGGTATTTCCTGCCGCGCTGTGATGTCACGGTCAGTAGAGCGCTCTCTGGCAGGTCTGCTCTTATTATCACTGTCGTTCACCATCGACAATGTTGCCAAAACGTGTGCTGTGACATGCGTGTGCTTCTCACTATGAGGGTTTTTTACAGGGCTGATGAAAAGTAGAGGCTTGTTTTATTGGTTTATTTGTCTGATCTCTTGAATTATTTCAACGTTACGAAACAATAACATAAAGCTTAGACACGTGTTTAAAAAAGCTTTCAAACCGCCCTTATATTCAAACACTTTCCCTTTAATAGTCATTTCTCCATAAAAGTGACTTTTAATACGCATTGGGATTTTGTTTCGCAATCTCTTTTTTTCCTCTCGCTAAATCGCCCTCGGATGAATTAGCATGAATTAATTGATGTCTTAATGCCCCCCTGCGCCCCCCCGCCTGCAAGTGAACACTGCTCAGCTGAGAGTTTGAACCAATAATCCCAACATCTGCTCAACATCCAGACTAAATCAGTGGTTCTGCCATCAGGCTCATTGAACGTTTAGTTTTCGTCGACTGTTTGCGACCGGATAAACTGTTGCTAAGGTAGGAAAGGTGACACATATGGAGAGGAAAGGAGCTAGGAGAGAGGGAATGGCGGCAGAAAATGAAATGCAGAGCGTAAGACTGGAAATAAACATCAGACAAAGATGCTGATGCCGCACTGCAAACTCCACCTCAGAGGCATCAGAGGATTTAATGAGAAAAGTCCCGAGAGCTCCACGGTTTCCATATTTCAACAATTCACTTCAAACATAAAAAATAACCTTCAATTTACATTTGGGGTACATGAAAAGGACACATGATGACCTAATTATAGTAGTTATTTCTTATTTTCTTGTCCTTTCCTTTCTCACCTTTTTCTGCCCTCCAGCTCTTTCTTTTGTTGTCGATGCTTGGTTGCAGTGAGAGTAGCTTGTTTCCATGGAAACGGATTGAGCCAGATGAGCTAAGCTCCTCGTACTGCAGCGTCTCTCCCCAGTGTGTGTGTGTGTGTGTGTGTGTGTGTGTGTGATTGCGTGATTGCTCTTGGATCTTGAGAGAAGGAAGCATGATGATTTATGAGAGTCTAATGCTCTGGGCCGACACTCGTGTGTGTGTGTGTGTGTGTGTGTGTGAGTGTGTGAGTTTGTAGCAATGCAGCCACATTTTTGGTTTGTGTCATCAGGGCTGAGATCACCTCTTAATTTTTATACCTTTCACGTCACCTTCTCCTCCTTTATTTCTCACTCTTCTTACATTTCTACCTCCACCTCACGGCTGTAATTCCACACTCTTATCATCCGTGTCGCCGTGGTGATCAAAATCGCTATGGGGTCACTGTGACATCTGGGGCTCAGCGTGAGAGAGAGAGGAACTTGTCATGTGATCTACACCGAATGTCAAAGTATACCTTTCACGAGCTTTAACCGGAGGTCATCTTGGCACACTGTGGAGATTCAGTCTTCAACGTTTGCAAAAATAACAACTATGTGCATTATTGTGTCATGCCTGTGCATCAGCTGGCAGTTGCTCTCTTCATATATGATGACGGTGAAATAAATGTTTTTGGGAAAACAAGGGGCGGTAGTTAGTGTATTTCAGCGTAATGTCTGCAAGAGGAGGAAATACAAAATTGATCTCGTGAAAATAATGAGTGTAAACGAGTGTATTTAGTGCACACTGTTCCTCTGCAGGCGCTCGCTCTGTGCCGCAGACAGTTGACAGTCCTCACTAACGCCACTCTGTATGTGTCTGTGTTTCAGAGCTCCCAGAGGAAAAGAGGAGCACGAGCCAACAACAAACCTGACAAGAAGCTCTGTCCACAGGTAACAAACACACACACACACACACCCTTATGTTCCTCAAGATGGGCCAACAAATCGATAAGAGACACAAAGTGCTGTTTCAGCAGCTAAAGCTATAAGACACTTAACCTGGAGGGGGGGGGGGGGCGTCATTCTAAGTGTAAAAAATGGATAACAAATAGTTAACCACCATGTATCCACACATAACATTTGGTTTATTATACATACACAGTCACACACTGCAACTTCACCTATTACCACAACAACAGCCCTGTTTGGGCTGTTTGCAAATCTCCGTATCCAGGTAAGCAGATGACGATATCCTAAATACAAGAAATATATTTAAGTAAATATTATATTTTTGTTGAGTCAGCGTCGCTAGAGGCAGCTGCGTGCAGAAATGTTATTACATGTACTACAGCTGACCGTAACTGTGAGTTATTCCCTCCTACGCGTCTCAACGCCGAGCAGCACTTCCTTCAAACGGGGACGATCAGACTCATTTGGAAACACGCGTCTTCACTGGTGCATGCGCAATCTAGCTGTGAATGATGAGCGGCGGCCGGAGGAGAAAGTCACGGGCGAGGGAGTCGCTGCATGCGCCGAGGACCGTTCGTCAATTGATCACAGGGCGCAGACCACCGTTCACTCTCGCATTACTGCGGGCAATCCAGAGTCACAATTAACCCGAGCGGCTGCTCACAAACTCCTCCGCCCAGTAATTGCCGCAGGCCCTTCTTGCCGCCGGGCGACAGCCGTAACCACCGCACCGCCGATTGAGGATAGACACGTGGAGGTTGTCCGGGGGCGACCGTCCGCAGCTGTCATGTCCAGAGATCTGTCACGTTTGAGCCTTTTTTGAGTGCGTGTCCTCCTCGCGGCTCGTATCTGGGCTGCGCATGCGTCTCTCTCAGATGTGGTCTGCGACCTGTTTCCTCCGGGGATCTCGCTATCTGTCCAAACAAGCCGTGTGCCGCTCGGAGCAGATACATCAGCATTTCCTCCTCGTCACCCTTTTCATCTCTTTTCTCCCCCATCTTACCCTGCAGTTATTTGTCCTCACTGTATTCCTTGGAAAACCCACTTGTTGTTTTTGCTCGGGTTTAAGATCAGGCCTCGACGACGCACTACCTCCTCTTCATTCTGCCTCACTTCTCTACCAAAAAGATAACTATTTTTTCCTTGACAGCAGTTTCTGAGCTCCCCTTGCCTCTTTCATTTTTCCGAGGCCCTAAAATAATTCAACCACAGCTGAAAGGCTTGTTTTTCCAGGCATTCTGGGAGTTAGAAGTGTATGAGATCAGGTTTGACGGAGACACAGATTAAAAAGCCACAGGACTGACTTATCGCCACAGAAGGTGATTGCGGTGACGTTAATTCTTTCAGCAACATCTCCCCCCGTCTGCTAACCCGCGCCCGGGCTTCCTCTCCAAGCCACATACCATAAACGCTCGACCCGCTGGCGCTCGTCCTCGTTTAATGTGGTTGGAAATGCTCCACAGGCAGTAAAACAAATCCAGCCAGAGAGCTGCTTGTGAGGAGTGAGCGGCAGGAGGACACCTCAGGTCAGCAGTGCTTACAATGGAGATACACGCATCAATACATGGTAGTTTTTAGGTTGAGACCTTCGATGAACTCTGAAGCAAGTGGAAACGGTTTAAAGCTGATTTATGGCCCCCGGGGGACAGAAAGACACGCTCGCTCTCCAACAGAAACACAGCCGTCCTGTAGCTGCTTTGCTCTGCTCCTTTTTTGTGTTCTTCCGTAATGCCTCACGAGGAGCAAACAGCAGCACGACTTTGTCCTAACAGACGTGTGCCCCTTCCGCGAAGCAGCAGTCCGGACGCGTTAATGAGTTAATGTCTCTCTCTGTCCCGTCTCCACAGGAGGACAGCTCGGACCTTAAATGTCAGCTCCACTTCGCCAAGGAGGAGACGGCCCTGATGTGCAAGAAGCTGACCAAACTGGTGAAGGACGGCGACGCCATGAAGGAGGAGCTGGCCAAGTTCAGGTCGCTGTACGGGGACGTCAACGCCTCGCTCACCGTGGAGGAGGTGAGTGGACGAGGAGGAGGACGGGCGGCAGCGACCTGTGACGATGTAGTGGTTAGTTAACCAGGCTGTGAAATAGTTAGAGTCAGAAATCACCGCACAATGAAGGAGCATTTCACACTGATGTCACAGTAATACAACAGACATCTTCATGCCCTTTAGCTCTCTCACTCTGGCCGTTTGCATGAGAGAAGTTGACTTTCCAGTCACATGTGATGAGGATTTCAATATCCAGGACTTTGTTGTTCGTAGGACGGATTGTCCTCTCAATCCATGATGTAAAACGAATGTATGGAAAAGGGGTAGAAACACTTAGAAGCCCTTCAATAATAAAAGGTAAACCGCTGATAAAAGCGTGCGATTAACAGGATAATTGAGTTAATTGAGAGTATTTCTCCCCCTCTATTTAACTCCCCCTCAGGTCGCTGACTCCCCTCACACGCGTGAGGCGGAGATCAGAGTCCACCTGAAGCTGGTGGAAGAGGAGGCCAACCTGCTGAGTCGGCGCATCGTTGAGCTGGAGGTGGAGAACAGGGGCCTGCGAGCAGAGATGGACGACATGAAGGGACCACAAGGTAGTTTGTTAGAGGCAGAGACTCTATGACGCGTTTATTTGACTCCCCCCTCAGAGACGTGAGCCCATCTGGAGGTGCAATTCATCTTAAATGTACTGAAAAACAAGGAGGAACATTTGAAACAGAATGTGTTTGGATCAGCACTCTTATCTAACGCTCGGCAATAAAACAAACTACTCCTCTCAGACTTTATGTTTTTGATATCTGTATTAACTTTGATAAGTTATGTTTCACATTCTCCACTAACTGCTCCTTTTTTCTTTTCCCCAGATGGTCCGCAGGAGCTTACTGGTATCGGTGGCAGTCTTGGCCTGGGAGGGGCCATGGTACTCGGGGGAGGGGCTTCATCTGAAAACGTCATGGAGCTTCAGCGACACCTCCAGTTTGTGGAGGAGGAGGCGGAGCTGCTGAGAAGGTCTCTCATCGAGATCGAGGAACAGAACAAGCTCCTGATGAATGAGATAAACCGCTATAAATCGGATCTGCCGCCCCCGACGTCCGCACTGTCGTCCAACTCCCTGGCGGCGCTGACGGACGGGCTGCTCAGCGACAGCCGGGTGCACTGCATTCAGGAAGGGGGCGGTGCTCATCAGCACAGACGCCCCGGCCCACGAGGGAGGAGATCAGACTGGCGAGGCTGCAGATCGGAGAACTGGGCGGGAAGGTGAAGAAGCTGCAGTACGAGAACCGAGTGCTCCTGTCGAACCTGCAGCGATGCGATCTGGCCTCCCTACCATGCTCCTTCCTCCTCCTCCTCCTCCTCCTCACTGCGACTCGCTCTGGAGACAGACGCAGAGGCCGGAGACTCAGCAGAGTGCCTCCCAAGGTAATCTCATTTTCTAGTTTGTCTCACAATGTTTTGTGCGTGAAACTGCGTCTCACTACTAGAGATGCGAATGAATCATTTCCTGTAGAGAGCAACAATTTCTGTTCCGAAGGGCAACGTTTTTTTCTTTTTCTTCATTAGTCAAATCAGTTCCCACAAGACAAAAACACCCTCTCTCTGTATTTCTCCCCGTCAGCCCGCCGCACCGCAAAGAGCCAGTCGGAGGAGAGACGGACGCCCTGGAGATCAAGGAACGGAAGAAGAAGGTCGAGGACAACGCTGACGCAGCCACCTCGCTCGCTGGGTACCTGGGGCAGAAGGACCACGATGCCTTGCTGGCCATGAGGGACCAGGCTCGCTTGGTTTCCACGGCGATTCAGCTCCTGACCTCCCCGGAGTCTAACTGCCTCTCCTCCTCCCCGTCCATCTATCACAAGGTCTGCAGCAACGAGGCAGCAGAGCCGTGTGACCCGGAGAAACCTCACACCCAGGCACGTGTCCCCCGAGTCGCTGTGGTGCTGTTCGTCCACAACAACTCAGAACTCGACTCTTTGTACTTTCTGAGAGGGAGATTTCTCACAACAATGGCCGACGGTTTGTTTCCGCAGGTTTCAGAGCTGTCCGACCTGGCGGACCGGCCCTTGGTTGGTGCTCTGACCAGCAGGCTCCAGGCCCTGCACACCCAGCTGCAGGCCTTTGTGGAGCAGGTGGACATCCTGGGCAAACCCCCGGCTGGTGGGAGGGACCCTCGGGTTGAAGGAGCGTCTCCTCTGGCCTCGCCCTGCGCCTCCCCCCCCTGCTCGGGGGATGGGCAGGATGGAGTGAACGCTGCCGTGGAGCAGGTAACAGACAGGAAGCACACTCCTCCTCCTCACTCCTCCTCACTCTGTCTCTTTCATTTGTTATCAGTCTCTTTTTTTTTAAAGCTTTCACTTCTATGGTTTATTGTTTTTATTTTATTTTGTCACTAGTTTGTTTTTCTATTCTTCAATTTTGTGTTTGGTCCAGTCCAGTAACCGTTGGTTTGGCTGCATAATTCCCCCGATCCCATCTAACCTTGCTGCTTTTCTTTGGATTTACACAAGAAGCTCAAATCTGACCAGCAATTTTCATTATGAATATACCTGATGTTCCAACCTGGATCCTAGTGGTAAAATATCCCTTCAGTGACAATCGATATTGTCATTTATATTTAAACCTCAGTTGATTTTTTAAGTCATTAAGTCCCACCTTGATATACAGGAGGCTTTAACTTTCAATGCAAAGCATTTCAATCTATTTATATGATTTTGTTACTAAATTAGGAGAACAAAAGCTGCCCTGCTGAATGCCCGTATCAGATTAATTCAGATTTGAGCTGGCAGTGTAACCTTTTCACGTGATGCCCCCTGTGTCCTCTGCATGCTGTTGATTTGCCTCCTAACCTGCTATTCAGATGCTGCTCTAGGCCTCAAATGGAGCCTGTTTGAATGCATGGACATAATAGAGTTGTTAAGACCAAATAAAGCACCATTTATTTATACATTTTTACCCGCATCATCAGACCAACACACAGTCTAGGTTTAGATTGAGTATCAACCCTACTTATTGTCATTTAAAGCTGCATTTATAGAGATGTAATCACATTTATACTGTAATTGCCAGCCGGACAGTTGGACCGTTCAAAGATTTAGGTGACATCATGCAATGTAGTTGACAAGCAAATAAGAAACTTGTCGATAAGCACTATTAGAGCATGTTTTGGTTTGAATACTTTGCAAAAAAAAGATATACAAAAATATATACATCTAGCGTTTTTTAGCTAATTAGTATTGTGACATTAGATACTGACTACTGTATTTCTAAAATGAATGTGTTTTTTATAATAAGAGGAGTAACGATGGTGGAAACGCAGGACGACAAAACCACTTAAAAGTTGACTACAATTTATTTCTAAATGACTAAACTCGGAGTCGAACTTTTGGAATGATTCAAATCTGTCATTTGTGTGTGAAATGGTGTGAAAATCAACCGTAGATTATTAAGAATAGGGCTGTTCACACAGACAGCGAGCTCGGTCTACATGGTTTCATGTTTTACACTAAATTTCCTTTGATGCAAGTCGCCTGTCTGGATGAGGCTGTGTTCAGTTAATAAGATTACATCATAATGTTTAGACTCCATTTGAGTCCCAACACCCCCTCCGTCCTCCCCCCCCTTCCCTTTGCCCCTTCCCCCTTCCCCTCTGCACGGGCACCATTAACACCGGTTTCTGCGCTTCACTTCCATCTCCCCTTCACCTCCTTTTTTTCCCCTGTACTCACGCCTCCTCCTCTTCCTTATCTCCTTAACTGCCCACCTACTTTCCTCCTTGCTCACCTCACACCCCTTTCCCCCCCTCGTCCCCACTCATGTCCTTGCTTTGCTTCCCCTCTCCTCCTCCTCCTTTTCCTCCTCCTCCTCTTCGTTGCTCCGTCGGCCCTTCGCTCTGACTTTTCATCCTAACTTCCTTACTCCTTCTCTCCTTCTTTCTCCCCTCCTTCCCTCTCCCCTCCTCTATCTGCCATTGCTGTTTCCCCCCTTCCCTCCCTACTACTCCTCCCTCACTACTCCGTTTATCATTTATCTCTCCTCCACCCTCAGCCGTTCATTCTGCCCTCCATACTCCTTTTCCTTCTTTTCTCCACCCTCTCCTTCTCCTCTCTGACCAAGATCTTTTTCCTCTACATCCTTTTCTTTGTCTTGTGAGATCCATACTCGACGGTTTCGGTTTTGTCCTGTTTGTTTTTTTTCGTTTCCCTCAATGTTGTCATATGGATCGACGCCATCTTGTTCGAATTGTTTTTTATTCTTATTGTTGTGTTTGTCTGTCTTGTTCTTTTCTTTCATTTCTATCACTCCCCTCCTTTTTGTTTGTCTTCCACCATGTCTACTCGCCCCCCCCCTCTCTCTCCTCTATGTTTTTCTTTTTGTTTCTTTGTTTTTTTTTTATTCATTAACCTGCCCATGCACGCATGCAGCGGCCCGATTCTAGGGACCAATCAGGGCCGGAGGGGGTAGCTCGATTCGAGGAGCGCAGCCAATCAGACAGCGAGGAGAAGCGAATGCAGGACGACGGCCAGCTGGAACGGGGAGAGAAGGAGGCGCGCGATGCACCGGTGAGTGGCTCAACATCACCACTATCGCCAACATGACAGACAGCAGAAACACACACTGCAGCCGTGAGCCAAAGCAGCATTGTGAACTTGCTGACTTCTACCTTGTGCACACAGGCAGACAAGCAAAGTCTTTGTTGCGCTGAATATTTGTGTCAACGTGTATCCTGGTCACAATTTAAAAGAAACTATTTAGATAGTCGAGTCCCAGTTAATGTAAAAATAATAATGTGGTAATAATGGGTCGTAACTGGTATATTGTCCGGTCTACTGCCCCGAAAGACGGTCCAACTGACCCATCGCCATGACAACCGTACAAGCTCCATCTCGCGAGAAAGATCTTAGGTGCCATTACAAGAAGAAGCTGGTAAATTGGACATTTGCAACATTTGAACGAATGCGACACAAAACCTAACAACATACCCATGGAAATGGGCCCCGAACGCACACGTGTGCTGCGTATAATTCCATCACTTCTTCCTGTTCAAGCACACAATGACAGGAAAAGTTAATCAAAGGCTCATTTATTTATACATGCGCACACACACACACACACACACACACACACACAGATTGAGGCTTGAAGTTAGTGAAGTGGTTTACTGGTGCTGAACTCTAACAACACATTGTTGTCAACAAACACTGACAGTGGCCGGCCCTTCCCGCACACGTCAGTTGTGGGATTGACAGGAAGAAAAGACCTTTGTTTGGCTGACCTTTTACCGCCGTGTCTCCATGGTAACCAGGGATGTTGTGTGTGTGTGTGTGTTAATCCTTATCGGAGCTTGAGGAGAGGAAATGGAATGAAGCAAAAGACAACGAAACAGTTGATGAAGTGGAGTGAAGAGCAGTGACGCAGCAGCACAAACCAGCGTTACACAAACACTCAGTGCCACTTATTCTCTGCAAAACCCAAAAGTGTGTTTCCCCCAACTTCTCTATGCAAGGCCAAACATTTTCTCTCACACGTTGCTTCACTTTTGAAATGCACCTTTTGAGTTAGCGGCTGCCGCTTTCGCACAACAATGCGTCATGCCGGGGCTGTTCGGGGTGGAGGTTGATGGAGGGTGGTGGAGGGCAGAGGCGGAGCCCAGTGGAGGGTGAAAGAGGACATTAATGGTACAGTGCTGGGTCGATGGATCGCACGTACTCAGCAGCCGAATGAGGCGCGAGAGAGTGCTTGAGATGACATGCGTGTGTGATAGAGAGAGTGTGTGTGTGTGTGTGATAGAGAGAGAGAGAGTGTGTGTGATAGAGAGAGAGAGAGTGTGTGTGTGTGATAGAGAGAGTGTGTGTGTGATAGAGAGAGTGTGTGTGTGTGTGTGTGTGTTTGTGTGTGATAGAGAGAGGGAGAGAGAGAGAGTGTGTGTGTGATAGAGAGAGAGTGTGTGTGTGTGTGTGTGTGTGTGTGTGTGTGTGTGTGTGTGTGTGTGTGATAGAGAGAGAGAGTGTGTGTGTATTTGTGCATCAAAGTTAAAAAGTGATTTAAAGGGTGCTCTAGCACAAAACTGCCATGTTGTGTGCTTCTCACACTTGCTGTTTTTCCCTTTTTTCAATCCTTCTAATTCTCTCGCTCCTCGCCACCTCCCATCACCGCTTGTATTCTCTTCTTTTCCCCCCGTCCGTCTCCCTCCGTGTTTCCTGCCTACCGACGGTTCCCCTTCCCACTGCTCCTGTTGTTATTTCTTTCGGCCCCACAACTCTTATTTCTTCTTTTACTCCTTACCTTTTTCCCCCACTCACCCGTTCCCGATGTCCTTTTTCGTTTCCTTCAGCCCGTCGATGGCGGCGACCTCCGGGCCGGGCTGTCTGAAGCGGAGGAGTCGGCCCTCGGAGCCCAGGTGGAGCTGGAGAGGGAGAAGCAGGCTCGGAGAGAAACCACTCTCATGCTCACGCAGGTCAGTTAGCAGCACAGAAAACAAGATACCATTTCAAAAAATAAATGCAAGTACCGCCGTGATCGTCCTGCGCCGACCCGTCTTTGCCTCTCAGCACCAGGAGGAGCACCAGAAGGCTCTGCTCCGCCGCGACTTCCAGCTGGAGAGTTTGGGCCTCCAGGCCCGGCTCCAGCAGAGGCTGTGGAGCCAGGAGAGGACCCTGCTGGTCCAGGAGTCCCAGCACCTCAAACAGGCCCTGTTACTGCTCAGCCTCAGACTACGCTGCTTCCTCAAGCAGTGGAGGCTGGGCTGCAGGAAGGACACCCAGTGGAAGGACTTCTTGGAGGTATGAAGGGGAGGAAAAAAAGCTTTGCTTCTGTTCGAGTCAGTCGCTAACTGTCCACACTGCTGATGCTGGTCACAAGATAATTATTTGATTATGGTTGTAATCTCAGGTTTTCATTTATAGAGACATAATAAATACAATGATTTTGAGGTTTAATCAAATAAATTAAACATCAAATGGAAAAAAGAAAAACAATATTTTGATGGATTAACATACAGATGATTTCTTTTCCACCAGATGAACAGCCTGAAGGACCTGTATCTGCTGCTGGAGGAGGAGAACCTAACAAGCCCCGCCCACCAGGCAGACAGGAGGGCTGCTACAGACGAACAACCACTCAGCCCAACCATCAAGGTAGGTTGAGTTGACACACACACACACACACACACACAGCCTTCCGCATGCACACGTTCTTACACGCGTATCCTCGCCGACAGTCGAGCGCCGTGAGCAGCACCTTGGCGGACCTGAAGGTGACGCTGCAAGATTTGAGCGGCGAGTTGCGACAGGAGAGACAAGGCTCCCAAGAACTCACACAGCAGTTCGCCAAGGCCAAGGCATCATGGGAAGTGGAGCGGACCGAACTAAAGAGCCTCATTACGCAGGTAAGGAGTATTTCTCTCTGCTGGCATGTGGCTGGTACGTCATAGTGGACCTATAGTGAGCAACAAACAGACAGGAAGGGGAATAACGTGTGACTTTTCTGTTCTGAAGTGGCCAACATTTATTTTGACAAGTGCTTCTCGAAATAACGTGACATTCCATTTCGTCAACGTCTACTTACTGAATGAAGTGGCTTATGTATTTGTGAATTTGTGCCTCTCATCCCACCCTCTGTCTACCGGCCTGTGAGCACCGGTATTCATGTTTAATCCCGTCCTCCCTCATTGTCTCTTTGTCTCATAACAGCAGCAGAGGTGGTAACTGCGTAAGTGTTAATTAACAGCCTCTGAGATAGAACACGGCCTGGTAATCCAGACAGAGAGAGATATGAAAGAGAAACAGGGCAGTTAAAGTAAGGCCATTATCATGTTGTTGTAACCGTGTCAGAAGAACAGGGGGATTAAATGGCGATGGGTGTGTTTTGGTCGGCACCAGCACCGTAACGCAGTGAGACACTCGCACACCGACGGGGTCATTAATCAGCGCCATGATCACAAAGATTCCTCGACTGTATCACAGATGTGGATATTCCCCTGAACCACATCCGCCTGGCAGCATGCAGCTCCAGCTGTTACTTAGCCCAACAAGTCAACTCAATTGCAAACACAGTCCTCCCCGTCAGACGGCTTGACAGGAAATCATCTTCGCCGTTCAGCCAGATAAACAAACGCGATAGCGTGAAGTAATCGGCCGTCCATCCCGACAGAAGGACGTGTAATGAACACCTGATTGAACTTGAGTTGAAGGTACATTTAGGCAAAATATTTAAAGCTTATGCCAGCTAAATGCTGCTCAGAATACCTGTTTAATGTTAACTCATAAGAGAAAACATTTATGAATAGCAACTGACCAAAAATACAGGCTAAATTGAGGGTTAGAGCTTCAGTTGTAGATGCACAGCCTGCAAACGCAGTCAGCTTTGCTATATTAAACATCTGCATGCATTATGTAACATCGGGGCTACGCTTTTATTTATAAACCTGGCACACATTTCGTCTCCCGGGATTGTTGTGGCTGCTGCTTGCCCTGGAAGTAAGAGCTGACGGCTGAAAGTACTGATGGCGTCGAGCGTTTGTAAAATCAGCGGCGTGCGAATCACGTGCTGCCCAACGCGGCTCCGTCCTACACTAGCCAGGCGCCACTCTCTGATACCAAACCATTACTGAAACAATGAACTACAGGAAAGTACCATTGTACATAAATGGATGCACTATTCCTAATTTGTTATTGAACTGAAAATACTCTACGGGAAGCTGACAGCTGCTAAATATGTGTATACTTGTTTTACTTTTCATGCTCACCCTGATTGCTATAAGAATACTAATGGATCTATTAATAATAGTCAAATTAAGTAATTGCTCTTGACCTCCCACTCAGCATTGAAAGGCCCCTGTGGGTTTGATTGGGGTTTGTTACCACGGCGCTGTTGTTGTTGTTGTTGTTGTTGTTAATAGCTCACGGCTCCGTGTCGCTACAAATACTCTCTTTCTACGTCAACTATAAATTGCTTCTGATTGGAAGCCACGTGATGGAGCAAATACCAAAGGCAAAGATGAAATAAATGCCTGACTTTTAGGAGGAATTAATTCGGCTAAACCACATTTTTCACCCACCAAGCCTTGAAGGATCCTCTTGGGATCATTTTATGAAACTTAATTCAACGTATTTAACGGCGAGTCGTGAAGCAGGCGTCTCTCAGCCACCAAGAGGTTCCAGCACTCCAGCGAAATCCCCCCCACCCACCCCCCCTTAACGCCTCTGCAGTAAACCTCGTTAAGGATGCGTTAATGAGCAGCTCGGTTACCATGGGAGACGGGAGTTGGGATGGGCGCGCACAGGTTACGCTGTGATTGGCTGCCAGGCGGTTCCATTGGCACCATATACAGACTTTCATGCTAGAGAGCAACAGAGGGTTGATGGGTCTACGGTTGTGTATCATTGTGTGTGTGTGTGTGTGTGTGTGTGTGTGTCTGTGTGTGTGTGTGTGCGTGTGCGTGTGCGCGCCTGTCGAATTGATGAGCCCGGTAGTGTCGGCTGTGTGAACGAGGAGGCGCATACGGGAAGAAAAAAAAGGGGAGAGCAGAGCTGCTCATAAAAATTTCAAGTGATGCCACCTACCAGGCGCTGTGACAGCGGGCCAGATTTATAGAGAGCGGGAAAAGGGGGTGAAAGACCTAGAAATAGAATGTGAGAAAGCAGCAGTGAGAAGGTGACGGGCTGAGAGGATTTATCTAGATTGTGCTCTGTGTTCTCCTCCTCATTTCCTCGGCAACGCATGGACACCATTGGATGAGCGGCAGAAAGCATAAGCATCTCATCCTCGTTCGCCTCTCGTCTGGTCGTGGATGAGGTCATTTAACATGTTGTTCTGAGTGTCTTTTTCTCGGCCTTCCAGCTAGTTTACAATGTCAGAACTTTTCAGAAAGGTGCTGATGTCGTTGTGTGGATGAAGAACTCCTCGGCGCACTGCCAGCACTTTTTTCCTGCAGAAACAACGTTATAGATTTTGCACAGTTATGACTATGTCACGTTGACAGAATCTGTCCATAGTGCGACGGAGCAAAACACTTGAAATAAATTAAAACCGCGGCTTGTAATTAAGTTACAATGATATTGACAGGATATTACTAGTTTCATCATGCAGATAAAGACATTTTGTATCATAAGGTCATCATGGGATGATGCCGCTTATTCATTCACTCAGCACTATTTCAACACCCCTCCTTTATAAGAAGTACTTTTGAAAAGGGCTTATTTTGATACTCATTTGCATGTTTAGATTAAAATCAAAGACAATGTCAAATTAAGTAATAATGTATTATATAACATAGTGGAAATTAATCTTTTTAAAGCTCCTTGTAAGAAATAACATTGATCTGACGTGAGGGATTAATAAAAAATGAATTTTCATAAAAGTTTTTAATAAAATAATGATTTTACATCCTATGATTTAGGGTGAACTGTGGTGGTGTAAATCAGATTTTTACCACAATGTCTTTGTCTTTCTCCGTTCAGCTTGAGACCAAATCAGGAAAAGCGGCAGCGCTGTCCGTCTCTGACGCTCCGGACCCGCCGGACCTGAAGGTGGCGCTGAAGAGGGAGCGAGAGGAGCACCAGCACCTCTTGGCCGATTCCTACGCAGCCGTGATGGACCTGACGAAACAGGTGAGTGTCTGTCTCAGAGAACCGAGTTGGGTTTGAAAGCAACATTCAACGTCCGCGCCTGTGTTTGGACTTTAGCTCTGTTTCCGTTTGTGAAAAGGCTCAGGAGTTGTGTTCACTTTCATATTCCGGTGGTGTGCGCTCCCCGTCCCTCCTCTTCCTCTGATGTTCGCCTCTTCTTCTCGTCTCTCCGCTGTGACCCGCCTGCGGACCAATCAGCTTCAGATCGGGGAGAGGAACTGGGGCAGAGAGAAGATGGAGCTTCTGGAGATGTTCAGCCAGGAAAGAGCTCAGTGGGAGCAGAGACTGGGAGAGGCCACTGCACAACAGGGGAAGGTGTGATGGGCGGCCTCTGTGCGTGTTTGTGTGTGTGTGTGTGTGCGTGTGTGCTTGTGAGCGCGCAAGAGAGAAATGTCAAAGAGGAAGAAGTGAGCAGATGTTGGGTGAATCTGAGGGGATGAGGGTGCCTGAGATAAGTATCACTGCTAGCATTTTAAAAAAGCTGTAGCTCGTGCAGTAAAGCCGCTTTGCAGACTGACAAAAAACGCAACCTGCATGAAAAACAACTCTGAAATGCCGCATCAACGATTTTATTGTATTAATGGTTTTACCCTGCTCTCACTTGATGTGCACCCATTTTTTTTTATTAATTCTTTTTAAATCTTTTTTTTACTTTTTTATTATATATCATTTGCCACAAATGTGACGACACCACGGCTGTAACTCAATCCAATCGAGTGATATTTTTCCCCTTGGGATACTTCGCCGATGCAGACAAGAAAACTCAGCTGTCGATGCCGCAGCGTGCGTGAGGAAGCGATGTCGTTGCCTCACTGTGATCAGTCTGATCTGCTGATTAGAGCCCAGAGCAGCCGCTGCCGAGCTGCTGCAACGTGTCTGGGAGGGATTTCATCAGAGTTTTTAAAGTGGTAGTTTTTTCTTTCTCCATGAAAGCACCAATCACATCTACTATCTACTCTACTTGTGTTATACCGTGGGGCCTCTCAGGGGCTTCTGACGTATGCTTACAGTGGCCCCATCAGGTCAGTCAGTGTAAAAGTAGCTGGCTGCACACATTTTTATTTTAAAATTGGATGTGTTTCCTGTTGGGATGGATTGGGCTAGATTTATGGAGAAACTTTATTTTAAAGGTCAACAAACAGTACTTGCGTTTAACCACTGGTACCTTTGTGTGCGTCGTGCCCCCACAGAGCCGTTGTTAAACTCGTGTACCCCATTGGGTGCATTGAGATTTCCTCTGGTTGTGAAGTGGAAGTCACCCTGGCAACTGCAGGAGAACCCCATTGGGTACAAGTAACCCTGTTCTGTGGAATCTAGTCTGAAAAGTAGTGTGTCTGTCGGTACTCCGCACGGAACCCAGCAGCCTGGTCTGCGAGTCCATCAGTGTATCTGCACAACTAATCCCATTATCTGCAGATGGCCTTTTCCTGTCTCCCACTCTGTCCCTTTGCTCTGTGGGGAAATTAAAGTGTGAGATCACCTCTCCAGCGTGCAACAAACTGACTCAGCATCCCCAACTCTGTGTGTGTGTGTGTGTGTGTGTGTGTGTGTGTGTGTGTGTGTGTGTGTGTGTGTGTGTGTGTATGTGTATGTGTGTGTGTTGCATGCTGTCTGACACAGATAGATTAGACTTGTCAGCCTCCACTTTCTCATGCCAAAACAGCTCCAGAGGAAGGGGACGGCAGTGAGATGAATGTGTCTGTCATAGTGTGAAAGAAAAAGTGTAACAAAATGCCACAACAATTATTTGCGTGTGTAAATAGAACAATGAATAGTTCGGCGGTTTCACTGACTGCAGTTCCTTTTTTTGTCCTCACAGTCAAAGTCATTTGGCAGCGAGTCTTCTGCAGACACAGTCGTAGCGAATGGAACAGGGTCGCCGAGGTAACCGTTCAAACACATTACCTCACAGATTTAAGCCAATCAATGATGATTTTGTTCACAACGTCTGTTTGATAATAGGAGTGTTTCATCAATGTTTCGCTTTGCTTCTCTTTTCAAGAACCAAATCAACATCAGACCTGGATGGCCCAGAATTCCACCGTGCTCAGTTTTCTGTCCCAGAGCTGGGTGACCTCACCAGGAAGAACTGGACCTACCTGACCAATGAGGTAACCAATGTGTGACTTGACACAATCACTCCTTTAGAATCTCTTTTATTCAAAGACTGGTGGAAAAGACGTATTAAAAATGTATAGTGATCACATTTTTTGTGCTTTTTTATTTTTTGTCTCCACTCTCTCACCTCAGACCCCACAGGTTGGGTACACCTGTAAAACCTGGGACGGTCCCAGCGGATCTTGCAGCAGCTCGGTGGGATCAGATCTGCATCTGGAGACGGTCCAGAGGAGCCACACTGCTCCAGACCGCACCAGCATCCGGATGTACTACAGCCCCCCTGCGGTGAGACGCACGGAGCACCGAAGGAGGAGCCGGGAGGCCAGAGAGCCAGAGCGGGCCCAGGACGGGAGCTCCTCCCTGGGGGTGAGTGGCTCCGGCGCAGACGTGACGGCGGCGGGAAGCCATGAGGTTCAGCAGCAACACCCTCCATCCTCCGTTTCGTCCTCGTACGAGCAGTGGCTGAGCTCGCTGTCCAAGCAGCACAGGGAGCTGCTGGAGAGCAGAAGCGGCTGCGTTGCTGGTTCGATCCCCAGCGTCGCCAGCAGCAGCGGCAGCGGCGGCTCTGTCGATGGGAGGGCGCCCACGTCGGCATTCCACGGCTTGGAGATCGGGGAGATTTCCGCCAACTTGAGTGACGACATGAAGGAGATGACCAACTGTGTCCGCCAGGCAATACGCTCTTCCTCCCTGGAGAGGAAACCCTCCAAGGAGCCGGGGAGTCAGGTACATTGTTTTTAAAAATAATTCATAGTCAAACATACACCAGTTAAATGGGCTTCACATAACTGTAGCAGGTTTGTGATTAACAGACTTTTTGAATATTTATTAAGATAATACATAAAATGTGCTAAAGCCATGAATAAAACGACACATCTTGCAAGATGTAAAATAATCACATCACTATCTTGTAATGACATCTGATTATATCAAACAATTTTGGTCTTTTTTTATCATAAGATTTAGATTTGTTTTGAAGGTGCATTCATTTGAACCTGTAATACTAAGCAGCATTTTGTCTTGTGTATCTAGTGACTCGTAAAAAAAAAAAGGATGCTGATTTTCACGGCACTCTCAGATGTTACCAGATATTAATATACATCCAGGACTCATTGACAACATGAGGTCGTCATGTTGTCTCTTCAACACTTCATTTCTATGTCTGCCCTGCAGGCGGCGCTGGGCGTGTCCACCAGGTCCACGCAGACCAATTGGCAATATGTCAGCATCGGGCTTCAAACAGACAACCTCCCCAGCAGCAGAGGGATGGGCCTACACTCCAAAGCCTGGTCTACTCGCCCCTCGTCAACAACCACGTCGTCGCTGGCGTCTGCTCGAAGCCGGCAGATATCCACATCCCTGGATAAAGTCCACAGCCGCATCGACAGGCCATGCTGCTCACCCAAGTATGGGTCACCGAAACTGCAACGCAGAGTGTCCTCCGGTAATTGGGCTTTGTTCTCTGGTCCCCGACATCCACTGCAAACACTATCGCTTGGGAGGTGGAGACATCTGACTGCTGCGTTTCTTTTTAGGATCCACCTCCAGACTGGACGGCAGTCCCTCCTCCAGGGACCGGAGCCTGTGGAGCCTCCAGCAGAGACCCCTCAGCGGAGGAGGACGCTCGGCCTGGGCTCGCTCCACCACCACCAGGGACAGCCCGGTCCTGAACGGCCTCACCGACGGCCTCTCCAGCCTCTTCAGCGTGGTCGAACACGCTGGAAGCACGGAGTCGCTGTGGAGGGGGGACGGAGGTAAGACGCCCCTTTTCTATGGAACGCATTTTGACATTTGTCACAGTTGGGAAGGCGGAGGTGAACAAAGCTAACGTGGTGGCGCAGTTGCTCGGTTTCACAGTGGCGTGCCGACGCACTGCTGAATTTTTATTAGTGACACCCTCCGTTTTACTGCAAATCAACCAAATCAAAACGTCTGCTGTGAAAACGGGCTTCGGTAGCCGATCATATTTGCTTCGATCAATCTCTGGCAAGAATTTCCTTTGCAGTCAATAAATCAATATGAATTTTCGATTTAGTCGCCCACGTGGAATGCCGCCACCTGAGGTTTGCTATTGAGGATTGAGAATCCATCTACAGCCGTGTTGGAGTAGAAATCACTCATTCATTTTATTATTATGTCAGCAGAAATGATGACTGGGAGTATGGTAACGCATTAACTTATCTAGGATACTATGTTTAACCCTATGTTTAAATGCTAGTAGGTTACTAATAGATACTAATTCACAATCTTGCTTTCACCAATAAAGTCTTCGCTCCTGTTGAATATCAGCGGACGCTTGTCTCCAGGATTCAATCAGTCCTGTAAACCACGTAAATTCCTGTAAAATCAATTTATTCACCATCTTGAATGCCGACTAGGAGCCAGCCAGGGGGCCAGTCCAGCTCGCCAGCCCGCCCCCGCAGGGAAGCCCACCAGTGCACCAGTCTGCGGCTCTGACCCCGGCTCTCAGCGCTGCGGAGGCCTGGTCCAGGAGTTCTTCAGGAGCGTGTGCAGCAGCCGCGGCCCAGGAGCAGTAACACTGTCCGAGGAGAGAGCGCTAAGAGACCCCGGTGGCGCCCTCGGGGGCCCGGGGGTCTCTGGGGGTTTTGCCGGCGTGGACGAGCCCAAGCCTGCAGAGTGTGTGGCGGTCGGGATCGGGGGCTTCGGAGCGCTGGCTGTCAGCAACGACAGCGTGACCAAGATCGTCAATAAGAGGTTCATGAGACAGACGACCGGGGAGGAGATGGTCAGCATCATGGGAGGAGGGAAAGAGACGCCGAGCAGCGCCGCGGCATCCGTGAGCGAGGTAAATGCGCTTTTTTAATTTAAACTTTAAAGAGAACATCACTGCTCCTTTGCTAATAATGAATCTAGGTTTTTGTCTTCGTTCTATTATTCAGACTAGAAAAACCTTCAGACAAGCCCTGTGTGATAAATTAAACCTCTCTCCATTTCCCAGGATGCACCCTGTGACTGTGCTGCCCAGTCGCCCTCCTGCCTCGCCCGACCATCAAGAGCAGCGGCGCGCCATTCCCTCGGCCAGTGCAAGCACCGCCCGCCAGAGTGTCCCGCGGCGGCCGAGGAAAAGGCAGACACGTGCAACGAGTGACGACACTTCAGAGACACGCACACAGGCGGCAACGCAGACGCTGTGCATCACTGCCACGGAAACCGCACTTCCAAACACCTCTCACGTCAGCAAATGTGCAGACACACTACCATGCTGCCACACAGGTGCACTGCCAAACATGACACACACACACACACACACACACTGAACCCACTGCCACATGTACACATTCATAACACTTGTGTTGGACTGTACCATTCGGATGCCAACGACAAGGAGGGCAGAGATCAGAGATCTGCTACGGATCCAACCATCACTAAACGACCAGCGGGAAATAAAGTTCACATCATTTGACACGCTGTGCTAAACAACAAACTGAATTGAGTCAAACAACAAAGTAAATCTGTGATGTCAGGACCGGGACCCCCTCTGCCAGAATAACATACTACATATTATCCTATTTGGCTTGGAAAATCCACCGTAACAACGTTGTCTTGCCACCACGCTGTTGGACCGCTGCCTATGTTGGATTTGCGGATAAGCAAGGAGGAAATGTGCGTTGAAAGCGCATGTGTTACTTTGAGAGCCGCAGTAGAGAGCTGGAAAGATGAAACTCTGAAACCATCAGGTCAAGATGATTTCTCTCTGAACTTTGTGCAGGAAGATGGAATTTTGCCTTTTTGATCTCCAACAAGGATCTGACAACGCCACCTTTGGATGACACTTCTGGTTCAGTCGCTGCCTGGTGGCCAACGGTCCTCCTCCTGTAACGGACAATATTGAGTTCTATTGGACTACAGATCCCAGCATGACCAGACTTGGGCTCCCGCGATGCTTGACCCGGTCACCTCTATAAACGAGACCATGGAGCAAACCGAAAGGACAAAAAGCTCCTCAGGCTCGCTTCAAGTATCTGTCCATGACGCCGACAGAAGGACTGTGGCCACAATTAAGGAGACGTTTTGTGGCATTGTGATAACGATGACTAAACCCTGTATATGTAAGAAAACCCACCTGTTGGGGGGGTTACTCCACAGTCTGATTGGGAAAATGATAAGTTTTGATTTCAACCTGTTACAGCAGGCAGAAAGTGCCTGTTCGTTTCCTATTTTGAGATATTTCTTAACTGTTCATCCTTAACCCTTCGATGATTGTTAACCTGAAAGCCACTTGGCGGTGGATGGAGATGCACTGATGCGACTTTAAACTTATTTTTTACCAGTTTTTCACTTTGCCATCCTGCAGTTTAGTGTGAACCACAAAGTACACTGCTAGTTCAACACTAAATACTCTTAATTAGGGCATTATTAGGTCATGTTTTAACAACGTTGGACATATTCACCCAATGTCCGTCAGCCTTTTCGGTGCATCTCTACCCTCCTGCACTTCATAGCAGGTGGGTCCAAACTCAAAATACTCGTTGTCCACAAACGCTCAGTGACTCTAAGCAGTCCGAGGAGAATTCAGATGCATTCCTCTTATTGGAGCCTCCCAGACGTGTTTGTGTGCGTGGTTTGTATGTACATTTAGTCGGTGTGGTGGACCAGGGCATCGTTTTGAGGTCTAGTCGAGGGGATTCTTTTTTTATTTTTCAAATACTTACCGCTCTTCTCCCGCGCACAACTGTCCTCGGCGTCGCTCCTCTACAAAATCGACACGCAATTAGGAAAATGTAGCAGGTTAGATTTTGGTAAACAACCAGCTAAGAGCTGTGAGTATCCATTTGAATATTTCATTAAAGCACTGAGTTTTTACTTTTTAAGAAATACATCTAGACAGGTCCAACGATATGAAAGGTGTTAAAGTACACACAACGCTAAAGAGACGACAACAAAGAAATGTTTTAGGGGAACTGACATCAATGGTCTTGTTGGTGATTTAAAACCTAAAAAGTAATCGTGAAACAATCATCTTTGAAAAGATGTTTGAATACTGTTTATTTCTCCTGTCCCTTTGTCTGCCATGTTGTACTTGTAACCAATCAGTAGATATTCAAAGTGCCTGTCAGATTCTTTTTAGTCAGCTCACGCCAAAACTGGAATCCATATTTTAAAAAACACAAACAAACACAGCAGACCTTTTTTTAAAAATGGGTGAGATTGTTTTTATGTGCATAGTTGCGATCAGGCTGTTCTAAGTAAAGCTACGATATTTAATAAAGTACTGTACCACAGTGCACACAGGACAAGAGGGTTTACAGGTATAGTGGGACATAGTATGCACACTATACCAACTTTTTTATACCAAGGGTTATTGTATTTCTGGAAAGTAAATTATTTTTGTTTTTTTTATATGGATGTTTTCTCTGATTTATTAGCCTGTTTATATTATCTTGATTAGTTATCATGGTGCTACTTAGTTTGAAGTCTGCAGTGGGCTCATCTATTTGAAGTATGTCTCCTCTGCTGTCTATTCCTGCGTCGCAGTCAAGCGTTTCTCCATTTCTGCACACAAAGTAGTGACTCAGCAGTTTAAACTAGGGCATTACTCGTAACAGTGCATCTATTCAAATAACACAGTGAGGAAAACCCGCAGTCTAAATGCTCCTGTGTGTCTCCACTCCAGACCTCAAAGCTGGTAGAAAACCAATGATCAGAAAACTGGTCACCGCTTCAGTAGCTACTTGCCACGGGAGTAGAAAGTCTGATGTTTCACCACAGTTTCATAACAGGTTGTTTCAGCCAAGCAATCCGATTAATTAGATAGCATATGAAATCCTATAGCCGCGTCAAAATGTGTTTTTATAGCACAGCTACTGCTCACGTACACATCCATTCCTGTCTACATTCTACATTATATTGTACGTAAGTCACATCGTTACAACGTCGCGTCTGCCGCTGTCACTTAGGAGAAAGAACTTGATGATGATACATCACGTTAGCAACAGGAAACGGAGGAAACCGCTCGCCAAGACTAAGCTCAGACTCACTTTGCAAAGCTTCAGAACTCGCTGTCCCTACCCGTAGAAATAAAACAATTTCAGGAAAAACTGCAGAGATATCAAACTGTAAACTTTCCACCCTAAAGTTTAGCCGTTAACATCACAGCTGTTTTCTTATTACGTTTAGCTCTTCCCCGGATTCCACAAAAAACGAGTTTCAGTGAACACTCCTGCGGCGTAATCTACTTACTTGCTGCCTCCCTATAATTATGTTTCAAGCCAATTATTCAAAATTAGGCTTTACGCACTGCTTCTGTTCAGCACTACTATGTTTGCATTTGTAACCCAGAGCCGCCGGTCTATTTCTGCTGATATTGGAAAAATGAAACATGCCACGTTTTTTTTGATGCTTGTTTCATTTCACAGTAGAAGAAGCGACAAACACCGAACAACATTAATGTTTTAAGCTGATTTCAACAAAGTAATTAGTTTGCAGGGCTTTAAAATGTGGGGTTTTCCTTTAATAACATCAGATGTGACATCTAGCTGAGAATACAACTCGCAGCTCCTTCTACTTTTTGACATGGATTTATTTTCGCTAGAATGTAAGACTCAGAACTCTCCTGCTGAGGCGGCATTGGTCAGTTGTGCCTCTGCAGCCTTTCCGCCTGCCTGTCAGTAGTTATATTTGCTCCTCCCCCTCAGGTTATAAGTACCACACATGATGACTGACCGTTGTATAGGTCGCACATCATCACCAGCCAATGACTGCTGAGCTCTCGCGGATTGCATGGCACAAACCACAAGTTTCATTATTCCCCGTGTGTCCGTAAGAAGGTTTCCTAAAACGCAGCATTTTTAACATCTTTCCATAGCATCCAAATGATTGTTACATCCGCGGCACATGTAAATGAATTCTTTGCTGTTCATAATGTTAGCTAAACGATTACCTAGAGACTGCCTGTATATCTGCTTATGTAATCTGCTCTTGTCTTTTTTTATAACACCTGTTTTCTTGTTCAAACGTAGAATGCAATGCGTAGAATGTTTCCCTCTTGTATTGCAAATTTTAAAAAATCTTTGTATCTCCCTCCTTTTTGTTTTTTTGAGAACAGCTGAATGTCAACAGCTGATCTGAACCAGGTCGCTGTGGAAGTATGTAGCTCTCTCCCTTTAAAGACCACGCTCCAGCATTTCTTCTGTACATAGGTGCATTTTGAAGATGCCGAAGAACAGAAAAGGCAGCAAACGTTTAGTGAGATGAGGAAATTTGATCCAAGTGGATTTTTAAAAACGTTTTTTTTTTTCTGACCAATGTAGCTTGTAAAACAAGACATTATAACTTCCTCCTGTTTGTCATAGAATTCACAAATAAATGTTTGTTGGAATTTAACATGGTTTGTTTTTTCTTCAATTTGTACATATTGAGCTTGGGTGAAATGTCCCCTTTTTGTCCTCCTGTCCTCGTCAGTCTTTTAAAACAGATCAATTGACGATAAGCACAGGCAACTTAAATGGTTTGGATCATTTTACGGCAATCACTATTAATAAATGTTATTTGTTTCAAATTCATAATTAGAGGGTTTTTGCCATAAACTCAATTATCTTAAAATACCAGTCACACAACTAAAATCTAACGCACAGCATCTCAGAGGGAGGTATCATACTTTTTACTCCACTACATTCTTCATGCAGTGAATCCTGGAACAGCAGTGCACTCGCAATGTGCTCCAGTCGCATGTTGGCTTCTTTTCTCTGGCTTTGTCATAATGAGAAGAGCCCAAACAAGCTTGAGAAGGATGCCATTGGCTCTGATGGACAGACAGGAAGTGAACTCACCATAGCAACCTTTGGAAACAAAAGACCAACTTCCTGTTTTAACTTAAGTAACAAACCAAGGGAATGTTAGAGCTCGGGAGTTTTGTGTAGTTTGTCAACGTGAATTTGTCTTTTGAAATGGTTACATTGTGAGTTTACATTGCTATTTATTTTTTAATCCAAATGTATGTTTCTTTGGAATTTAGAAAAATTCCAAAGGAAGGAAATTGGACCAAGACCTATTCTAAAATTGTCAAAAAACTACTCCATCGGGCAGCATAAATATCTCTGCAGTTATTGATTTACTTGTTCTTCGATTTACGCCTTCAATGATTTTCTTCAGTAGGCAATTTGACTGAGCTCAAATTCCCCTGCACCAGTCAAACTAAGGTGAATATGTAACTCCGCGTAGGTTTATTTACCTTTCAATTGAAGCAAGTCAAGGATGTGGGTTTACAGATGGAGATACGAGAGAACGTCACGCAAATATACCTCTTTGTCTGAAATTCTTTTCTGGACTTTTGCCTGCGTGCGTGGGTGTGTTTTTGAGCTAAACTAAGCTAAATAGGTCAGAATTAGAGAAAGCTAGAGGAGGTATTATGTTAAAGCAGGGTTATTCTTTATCGGCCCATTCATCTGTGAGAATGTGATGAGGGGGCCGGGAAAAAGACTAAAAGTGCAAAGTACTCTTCAAAAGGGGAAGTTGAAAGGTGATAAAATATATATATATATATATATATATATATATATATATAGCTGTTGATACCCCCCAAGAAAACAGATGAATTGATCCTATAAGGATATTTTCTCTGCCCTTTGGGACTTTAACTGAAGGGTGGGCCGAGATCCAGGTTATGTATGCGGGAAGAGATTCCCTTGGAGCGGCCGGCAGGGGTTCAGGTACGTAGCCGGGCAGGTTGCGTGAGAGTCTGTGGTGTCCCGCAGAGACGAGACCAGACACTGAGTGCGTGAAGAGGAGTCTAATATAATAGGAGTTGGACTGTTTACGTGCAGGTGATGGTGATTAGAACTCACGGGACTGTGAACGAGTGGGAGGAGCGAGTGAAGCTGGTGGGATCCTGACAGCCGGGCTGCGGCGGCCGAGCGGCCGGTTCCGTGGGCCAAAATCTACGGATCACATTGTAGAACTTTTGTCAGAAGAAATGCGTAAATATGACCGCTTTATATCCGTCATTGGCGGGTTGCAGAAGCGGGTTGGATTCACGGAGGGAGATCGCCGCAGACGCCGGTTTGCAGGTCGAGAGGTGCACAAAGTTGTGGAGGAAAATACGGGACAAATGTGTCCGCGATGAAAAGCAGCAGTGGCGATGCACGGGGCAATAAAGTCTATGATAAATAAATAAACAAACCAACGACTTCCACACTCAAAGACGCAACTCTCTAGGTCGTCTTCAACAGAAACACGTCACTCCCCCTGTTGTTCTGGAGGCGAATTGATCTTTTAATCCAGTCTCCCTGGAGGTCAAACACATCATGAGGGGAGGTTGTTTCCAGTAAAGGCGCGGTTCGACCTTTTTATCAATGTGTATGCTCCAGCAATCGGTGCAGAGAGGAAGCTGTTTTTACAAAAAAGTTAATGAGCTTTTAGATGTCTGTGCCTCGGAGGATTTTTTATTCTTAGGGGGGGATGTTAACTGTACAGAAGATGCGACTACAGACCGCAACCACGCAGAGCCACATCCAGCTTCCCAGCAGGCTCTGAGGCGGCTGGTCCAGTCTCATGGCCTGCTGGATGTGTGGAGAAGGATGCATGCAGACTGCCGGCAGTACACGTGGTCCCACCTCAGAGAAGGTAGAATCTCCTCAGCCAGGCTTGATCGGTTTTATGTGTTTAAGCACCATTTTAATATTTGTAAAATATGTACCATTGCACCGGCGGTTTTCACACATCATTCCCTGCTGGTGTGTAATGTTTTTATTGGGAACATTTTGCCAAAAAAGCGCGTACTGACATTTTAACTTATAGGTCCTAAAAAAAAGAAGACACGACCCGAGGGGAAACCTCTGGCGGATGACGTGGGACAGATGTTTCTGCACTCACCGTGGTGCACTGCTGTTGCAGCCATACACACTTCAACAACAACAACCGGGCTGAACAAACAGCGATCGCTAAGCATCAGTCAGAGGTGTGAGCGCAGTGACGTTACCTTCCCTCAGCTTGCGCACCGCCGCTTTGTGGCCGGCTCCCCCTGCGTGGCTGGTCAGGGCAGCCTCGCCCATCGTCTGAAGTTTGATAGATTTAGAACAGGCCTTACATCGGGCGAAGTGAATGTCCTGCACAGTAAAATCGCCAGTGTTAATACAACACTTAAAGAGTCAATTTTAACACTACCTCAGTGACATATGGTCCCTATCTACAGAGTGTTAAATGTACACTGAACACAGAGTTAAATTTCCAGAGTCAATTTTACTCTGGTAAGAGTTAAAATTGTACACTAGGTGCAGTGTAGTGTAATAATATTAACTCTAAGAAGTGTCAAGTTTTACACTATGTAAAAAGTAACACCCATAGTGTTATTCACATGTAACACTAAAGAGTTATAAAAGAAATAACCTTTCCAGTGTTAAACCTGCTTTACACTATGTTGATTATGAAATCACTCCAAAGAGTGTTGATTTTTAACCAACTCCTACCAGTGTTGCATATCTATGCAGGGGGAAAAACACACAGACAATTGTATCCATACTGTAATACATATTTATTCCAAGTAAACATGAAATATTGGCATCAAAAGTAAACCTAAAACATGTAAAGCTCACATCTTATCACAGTGGCAAAGATCTTGGTTGGTGCTGGATGACAGGAATGTTTTGATCAACATGATGGTATCTGCAAAGACAGCAAACTGAAATCAACATTATGATCTACAACACCATACAAGCTGACAACCTGAAAATACCCTATTTCAGCTTTAAAAATCACAAACACAACTACATTTTCGGTCAAGTACATCAACTTATTACTTACCACCAGAGCACCACAGTACATTAAAGAACAACCTGAAAGAAAAAAGGAAAATATACATAATAAGTAACTACGTAGACCCCTCCGCCGTAGCCTGACGTGCAGCTCCGAAAAAATCTAACTGCGAGTCGAGTTGACGTGGACCGCAAGTGCTGTGATTGGTCCGCTCAGAACGTAATTTGCGGCAGTTGCTGACATTCGAAAGTATCGAAAGTGCACTTGCTCGTCCAGGTCCCTCAGTGGGTGAACCAGTGTTGTAAATTCACGTCTTCTCCATAGCCTGCGCTTCAATATGAGATTCGGCTCACCAAGGATTCGGCACCCGCAGAAACACACAGCAACACCCCCTAGCGGCATGGGGGGGAACTGCAGAGCAACGGAGAACTTGCTCAATGACGGGGTTACGCCGCCGCCGTAACGTGGAAGCATAAATTAAGCTTACAGCAGCTACAGCCATAGACATAAAGAATAGACATCGACCGCTGCTGCCTAGTGGTGCTGACGAGCCGCGGGGCCGCCAACTTGGACCGGTCACCCGCTCCACTCAGTGCCAGCTGGCGCAACGAAGTGTCAGCGCATCACTCGCTGAATACAAAAGCGGATGTTCACGGGATTTTGTAGGCATGACACCGAAAACATGATTAGGCGTATTTTAATATTCATAGTAGGCGTAACAGTAATAATATTCTGGTATATAATATAATAAAAAATATTTGTTTGCGCCTCAGCAGCCAATGCAGCGTCTACTCTTTATATGTCTATGGCTACAGCAGCAGCTAACGGGAACCGAGCCTCTCGGAGCCGCGGCTCCGTTCACGTTAACTGGGTCGACTCGGTGCATTCCGCCGTCTGCCGGTGAACTAGCGGGTCCTATGAGCACGTCCGCATGTCCGCGACATGTCCCGCTATGCTCGACCAAATTGTGACGTGACGCTAAAGCGATTTGCTCCGGCTCAAATAGAAATAATAAATATGACTGCTTGAACAAATTTTTGTCGTCATTTTACTGAAATAAATGTGCAAGCATGACACATAACACACCACGACAGCTCGTCCTCGCTGACATTAACGTTACCTCGTGTCGTTTTTGTTCAGTTTGGTGTTGCGAGTTCAGACATGTGGCTGCTACATTTAAGCTAACCACCCACCCGATAATCACGTTAGCCATTTGAAATTCGGTATTTGAAGACACGTACCCAACATTGACTAGTGTGGTGAATGAATACGTCCCTTTATTCTTATACAGATTCTACTGGAATGAAGAAAAACAACGGGAATAGTTTATAGTAGAAAGACTTACCACAGTATTTCGATGCGAGGAAGATGGCGATGCCAGAATCCACATTCTCAGTTTGACCGGGAAAGTTGGTGGGCGGGGCTTTCCAGAGTATTTTTTGTGATACTCTGGAAGGTATCTTGCTCTAATCAGTGTTGAATCAGGGCCTTAGAGAGTCAATAACACTGACAGAGTAAAACCTCTGTTAACTCCGATTATTTTCACCAACACTGGAAGTTTTCTGGTTCAATTTTACTCTGTCCATTGTTGGAAGAACTCCGGAAGAATTAAAATAGTTTGACACTGCCTTTTT